ATATGGTACTTGCTTTCAACTGTATGAGGAAAGATGTCTTGGATACAAAACTCTGATCTAGATTGTGAGAGCAGACAATTTTTAGAGCGCTCTCTTAGCTCATTTCACTTTCCAGGAGAAATGTAGTTAATCCTCTAGCCTGTCACAAAGATCTGTGTGATTATCAAATCAATTATCTAGCAACTGGTTGGGGGCCACCCACGTTTCTTGCTTCACTGTATTTTAATCGTTAGCAGCAGCACTATGAGCTGCAGTGAACCCTTATGCGTGAAAGCCTTACAGTGACAAAGGCTTATGCAAGAATTAACCTTCCACTTGCGTGTGTTGTGTGAATACATTTTATTCATTGACAGGAAATGACTGGCACAATGAGCGCTATGCAGCGTGACCATCGACAGGAACTCCTCGGCAGCATACCCAGTTTTAAAGGACTTGTGTTTGTGGTGTGACTGGCACCAGGTAGCAACCCACGATGTTGCTCTTAATGCTCATTGGCCCTCCAGACTCCCTAGACTTTCCAGACACCTGCATGCTAGAGTTGTCTGCTCTGACAATGCCACTTGTATGTTAGCTACTTGTGAGTGTTTGGTGTAGGACTGTCATAGTAGCTAACACCAAATGTGAAGAGTTGTAACGCAGCTTAAGATAGGATCTGGAGCTGGCACAGAGACAACTCTTGCGGGCTGTAAGGTAAAGCTATGACTGCCCTGCATTACCCTGCCTCCTGCGTTCCACTAGGTACTGTGAAAGCTGTTGTTCAGAGAATACATGCGGTACATACTACTGGTTTAACTTTCTAGGTGAAGAATTTGTCAAGTGAATAAATTGTGAACTTTTTTACACTTATGATGATTTATAAAATCTTTGATGTCGGGACTTTTTTAAATACAGGTTTGAACCATGTAATATTTTGCAATTTAGAGGGAGCCTTCAAATGTGGATATAGTTTGCCTGATACAGAATGCTGCCATGGATAGAAAAGTAACCATTCTGGAATAATTCTCTGCAAAAATATTTGAACACTGTTACAAAGATGATGTATATGCTAGGTGAGAAGCAGTTTTCTAGTATTAGGAGGTGTAGCAGCAATATTTAATGCTTCTGTGACGTGAGCTGAGCAGAATACATCTTCAAAGTAAATCTTACTTCCACACCTCTCTTCTAAAAACTGCTCACAATTTCTTTGACTTCTTAACTGGCAATTATTTATTAGAATAGACTGTAATTTATTTTTCCATTAATCACAACAAATAGCATGATTTTGAATGCAAAAGAAGGTCTGACTTTCAAATTTGATTGTTTTTAGATCCATTTGTGAATTTTAAAAAAAAGTAATTGAGTAGGTGGAAGTCTCAGCTTGTTCCTTAAAATGAATGAAGCACTGCCTTCGGCTCTTACGATCATGATTTCAGAGGTGGAAGAAGACATCTGGGAAAAGTAAAACAAATTGAATAGTTTGAGAGCCTCTGTCAGAGTTAATCCAAATGTCTATTGTCGTCTGTATGCAGAGTGGAAGAAAGATATCAAAGCTGCTTTTGGCAAAGCATGTGTCTGTAGTTTAAGGAAGACCTTACCTCTGCCAGAGAATTGACATTGATCTTCTCTAGAACTCTTGGTTCAGTTGTTTGATTTCATGTCAGGAAGGCATTCACTCTCACGCCAAAATATGTGCTAAACTTGTTAGCTTATGTAGTTTGGACTCAGCCAGTTAATCACAGTAGTAGTGTTTTTTATGGACAGTCTTAAATGAATCACAGCTTGAACTGGGTAACTTTAATGCTCAAATGCTGGCAGTTTTGTGAATAATGCATGACCAGGAGTTAACACTTAAAAAGTGAAGTACTTGGATTTGGTTATGTCCACGGTTGTTATGAAACGTCTGAAAAAACAGTATCAATGGGAGTTTTGAGGAGATCTGAAACTGAGTATCTCCAGACCATGCTGTGATTTTTTTTTTTTTTTTAATTAAACTAAACTTGGAAATTTGCTAAAGCTGTTAAAATGCAGTCTCATTGATATACAGCTATTTTGCTTTCTTATTCCAAGTCTGATATTGTGCTCATAATTTATTAGAGGTTTGAAACATGAAATACTGTTTTGATCAGTAAAGTTCGCTGAGGTGGTTCACTGAGTGACTAAGGACTGGTGTGAGTTTTATCTTGAGGAAACAAAGCATGCTCTGTATTTTAAGTCTGATTGCTTTGAAACCTGAAATTACTGACACTTGGCATAGAACACCAACCATACACTGATTTAGATGAAACAGCTAAAATGTCGTTCAGTTCCTCAGACCATCTGTAGTGCAGTCTAAAGGCACATAGATGTTCACTTGCTAATTGTGCACTGCTGTTGATGGGACTGATGAAAGTTAGATTAACAGTGTGCCCAGGGCAGGCCTGATGCCTGTATACTTACTGGGTTCTAAATGAGTTGAATGTATTGTTAGGAGTTGCCACAGTTTGTACCCACGCTGTAGCTGCTTTAGTAAGATGAAGCAAGCTTTAGTTGGTACATCTGTCAAATCTGAAGAAGTTCATTGAAGAATTCAGAAACTACGAGGGGATGTCTTTTGGCACCTCTGTGCTTCCTCATTCTGGTCTGCCTGTTGTGACAGTCGTGGGGTCCTACGTACCAAACAAGGAAGCTAGTCTTGGCTGCTCGTTTGTCCCATCACATTGTGCAAGTCCTTCAGGGAAAAAAAAAAAAGTCACATATATTCCATCGCTTATTTCCAGAATCTTATGCTTCCTATATTTAAAAATAAGAGTACTGTCTGAAGATTTATATTTTTCCTCTATCCATCGTTTATGAAGGTCTTTCAGTGGAGCAGTGTTCTTCATCCTGAATTCCTGAGAGGAAGAGGCTTTGAACTTTCAATATGCATCTACGCCAAAAAGTATCCATTTCTCCTAGGAATTTTGTTTGGTTTATAGAGCTACTAATAAGATAGATATTTATTGACCTTCTAGTTTTCGTGCAGACCAGTTGCTAAGTATTTGTGCTGCATTGAATATCCTCTATGTAACTTGCATGTTTTGAAAGCTTTCCCAAGAAACCTACCCTCTGTTTTAGCTTCCAGTGCTTAATAAAAAACCAGTATTTGGTTAATTTGTGGTGCTAAACAGAGAACCACTTTCTCTCCCCCTCTGCACTGCTGCTGCTACCACCAATATGGTATTTGTATATTGATGGCATTTAGGTACTTGCTAAGCTCATATGCTATACTACTTGTTACAGATAAATAGAGTTGCCTCACTTAAAATAGATTAATCCAGAAACTTGCTTGTAACTTCCAGTATTTCCTAGTTCTTTGTGGATGTATCTTTTTTAAGATGTGTTGTTTCCTTGAAACATGGAATTACACTGGTCAACTGGGAAACACAGTTGCATCTAAAACAGTTGGACGTTTTAAAACATTTCTGAATTTTAGCTTGGTTGATCAGTTTGGTTTTTTTAACAAGACCTGGTCATTGAAGAACATGTAACTTGATACATTAATATTTTATCTTAGTTTGGGAGAAATTATATAGACTCTTGTTACCCTAGGGAAACCCCTTGAAGTCCGTGCTCATCTAATACTTTTCTCTAGTTTATCATTGTTAGCCTAGTTTGTTCTTTCTTCTCTTACTTATCTGTCCATGTTATCTGTCTTGTATGACTTTATAGAATCATTTATGTTGGAAAAGGTCATTGAGTCCAACCGTAAACCTAACACTGCCAAGTCCACCAGTAAAGCATGTCCATAAGTGCCACATCTACACGTCTTTTAAATACCTCCAGGGATGGTGGTCACTCAGCCGCTTCCCTGAGCAGCCTGTTCCAGTGCTTGATAACCCTTTCAGTGAAGAAACTTTTCCTAATATCCAATCTAAACATCCACTGGTTGCAACTTGAGGCCATTTCCTCTCATCCTATGACTTGCTACTTGGGAGAAGAGACCGACACCCGCCACACTACAACCTCCTTCCAGGTAGTTGTAGAAAGTGATAAGATCTCCTGTCAGGCTCCTTTTCTCCAGGTTAAACAACCCCAGTTCCCTCAGCTGCTCCTTACAGGACTTGTGCTCTAGACCCTTCACCAGCTTTGTTGCTCTTCTTTGGACACGCTCCAGCACCTCAACTTCCTGTTCTTTCCCTCCTTATGCACTGTATTAAAACAGTGGTACTTCTTGACATATAATTTTGAAGTCTGCATGCAAATGTGGGGGGAGAAGAGCTTTCAGTCTGTCCTTTTCTCTGTGGAAGAGAGGGTGTTGGTGGCAACTTTGCATTCTGAATGTTTAGTTACTAAGAGGTGCATTGATTTAGCTGTTAGGACCATATGTCCTGATAGACTGTCCAAACAGTTGTTCATGATTTCCTATACAGAAGAGGTGGCAGGCTGAAGGTACAGGGCATGAATATAATTGAGGAGAACATGTTTAGAGTGTAGTGAGTAGATGACTTCACAGGTTAGTAATTGAAAGAGTTCGTACTACCAGTAAATTAGCGCTGAAGTTCTGAGCTAATGATCTCAAATTGTCCAGCTTGAGATACTCTAAAGGCACGTGACCTGTCCCCCACCCTGTTCTGTTTTTAAAATAAGGTCAGTGAAACATTGGAGGTTATAGCTGACATTTAACAAATAAATAAAAAAGCAAGAACTGAAGTGGCTAATGACCGCCTTTTTGCCACTGTCGAGAGCTTCAGGTTTTTCTCCTATAGAATACCAAATAAGGAATCTTTTTTTTTTTTTTTTTTTGGTAGTTTCTGCTGTTTAGTGCAAGCTTTGAAAATAATACATTCTAGTAAGACACTTCTGGTTTTTTCCTTCTCAATTTAGAATGACTTTTCCCATCGTGACCGCGTGTCAAGTAATGAGACCGGTTTGCTAGAACGAGCCACAGCACCTCATGATGGACTACCAATGGCTTCCCATAGACCTCAGCGAGAAGGTATGTTGTCTGAGGTTTCTTTTGAGAAACACTTTAAAGTTTTTTTGAACGCTAAACTCTGCCTGGAGTTGTAGAAATCTTGCATCTGTCTTGCTGTTCATCTGAATGAGAAACTGCAATGCTTGGTAAGTATAATAGCTTGTCTGCTGCCTACTTGGTCTTTTCTTTATTATAACAAGTTGTCATTCTTGTTAGCTCCTAACTACTAGTGATTGCACACACGAAAATTGATTGCAAATGGGCTTCCTCCTGAAAAAAGCGGTGGAATTTGGGAGAAAACAAGAAAATTTAATGCAATTGTATTAATGGTGTTTAGATTTTTGAAGGAAAACTAAACATGAAGATACTGTGAAACAATGGATAGCTTCTGCTACTTGATTCAGTTGTATTTGATTAGCCTTAAAAAACCAAAGAAATTAAAAACACATATTAGGAGATTTTATAGAAGTGGTAGTTTGGAGAAGTGAGAGTCTTTCCGTAGAACAAAGTCGTTTTTTGGCTCTATTGGGGAGAATGAGAACAAGGCTTCAAAGCGTAAACAGAACTCTTCTGTGCAATTGCCAGCACAGTTTCTTCTCTTTGAAGAAATGAGCATTTTTGAAAACAGATTTATTCTTGCCCTTTTTTCTCCAACAAGATCAGCAAATCACTTGTCTACTCAAAATTAGTCTACGCTATCCTGCAGATAGCAAAGAGCTGGCAATCTGGGAAAACTATTGCTATTCCTTTTGTCCTCATAAATGTCCTTTGTCTTTACTGTGAAGACTTAATTACACTTTGAAGGCAGGCAATTTGAGAGTTTTAATTCCTTGCAAAAAAACACAGAGAAAGATTATGGCAGATTACAGACAACAAACCTGTTTCAAATGCTTTTACAGAGTTCAAAGTGTTCATATTCACAAATTAGAAACACAAAAGCAAGACTCTCTTTAGCAACGCTCTTGAATTAAGTAACAGAAGCACAGAAAAGTTGAATAATCGAATCTAGCAAAGAGCTTAAAGATTTCTCAGTGGTTGTATTATCATAGTTAGAAACTACAGTGAAGAATCAGAATCGTTTTGTGATATTTGCTATATAGGTATGTGATAGAAAAGGAGTCCCCGCTACAGAAATCTCCCTACTCGGTTAGAAATAGCACTGATAATAAAACATGGGGTTTTTTTATTCTCAGCTGTGATGAATATGATTTTTAGAAATCTTAACTTAAATTTACAATGGAAGCAGTGTCATGTATACATGCTTGACTTAATCGTCCTGAATGCGTGTGTTGTGTCCAAAATAAATGTAGCCATGTAACATGCCTCATTAGCTTGTATATTCAAACATTTCTTCTCAGTCTAGCCATTTAGAATATTTAAAATGTGATTGTGGAAACAAAATTCTAAAGTAGTCTTTTGAAGCTATGGAACTAAAACTGCAGCAACAACACTGTAATTACCTGTTGTATCACTTATTACAATGAAGCATGCAACAGCAACAAAAAGTTAAGGAAGCTCAAGGTACTACATTGTGTAATAAAATGTCTTTATACTTGAGGACAAATATATTTAGCATTGAGAACACTGAGTAGTTTAAAATAAACACAGTCCCGTCAGAAAAGAAGCTTGTCTGTGAATGTTAATGGTGTTAGTTTCCATAATTATGTATGCTAAACATATGCATGTAGTGAACTGCAATTTAAACCACTATTCTCGGTTCCAGTCATGGGAGTCAACTTTTTAATTAAACTTAGGAATATCAGTTCAGCTGATGGTATCAATTTTAACATTGGCCATTAAGAAACTTTACTGCGCCAAAACTCATGTTATGCCACAGTCCTTTTTCTAACAGTGCTTTTATCCCTACCAGACAGGTAAAAATTAAGGTCACCAAACATTTGGCTTTTCACAGTATATAGATGTATGTTATTGTCTGGTATCCTTAGCTCATCTCAGATTTCTTTGTTTTGTAATAATTAATCTTCATTAACTGAAAAATGAACCGATTGTCTAGCGCTCTAACTCCCAGGTAGAGGGTTACAACCAGTGTACACCAGCACACCCAGTATTTGTCAGTCTTTCTACTAAAAGAACTGGAAGGTGTAACTCTATCACCAGGCTTATGTGCTGGCTTATTATTCCTTTAAGGAAATCGTTAATGCTTAGTTCTCTTAGAACTGGCATGTTCGATGGGAATACTACTTTAATTGTAACTTAACAAAATTCATTAAAGATGTTTAAGTTAGATGAAATGGTAATTAGCTAATCTCCAAGAATAAGCTTTGTAACATACACTTGTAGGAGGTTGGTTGATTTTTTTTTTTTTAAATTGTTATGCATAATTTCCAGTGTATCCCATGTAAACATGCAGTTAAAAATTGAAAGGAAAACGTTAGCTGGTGACACCACCCTCTTCTCACCTCCCCCCAAAGAAAGAAAAAAGTTTCAAAAGTGTTGAAAGGAAGCATTGATGGTGTAGGGCTGGTCGAACTGTTTTTTAAATAAAATTTTTTACATGTAAAGATGTGTTCATGCTTGTAAAGGAATAAAATTCTGTTGAATTCTTAGACCAGCATAGCAGAAGTAAAAAGTCCATCTCGGCTACATGAGGATTTTTATATAGGGTGTTACCTGAACAGTGTTATGTGCCCTCAAGAAAATCTCTGAATGACTGAAAGTCATATGGTGCTGCTTCTTACCAAGTCACAGCCAGAACTTGCCTATTCTTGAATACAGTAGACTATGGGGAAGGAGTGTTAAAGTAGCAAGTACTTTAAAGTACCCTTCTTCCTTTTCAGTTCAATTTAATGATACTCTTTACAGTATGATTATAGTAGCCTTCTGCTTCTCCTCTTCATTTTCTGTTTGCTAACACTCATTTCTGTCTCCTTCAGGCCTTCCCCAAGTGTTTCCTTCCACCTAAGTGCCTTTCAGAAATGTGGTTCTTCTGCCTTAGTTTGCTCTCTTTACTACTTGATGTTTCAGAACTGTGGATGTGGAAGGCACTGTCACTGGCTTTTATCAGCGCTTGTTACTTCTTGGAATAAAGACACAATTTGACTTCTTTCATTGTCTTTTCACTTATAGTGGTTATATTATTGTATTTATGTGACTTTCAGTCTAAATAAGCTCTTGGCTAATGCACAGTTTCCCATGATCTGCAACGAAGGGGCTGTGCTCAGGCCAGAGAAATACTTTGTAGAGAACAAGGCTCCACCTGCCCCCTGCAGTTTGTTACAGTAAAATAGCATCTGAGAAGGAGTGGGGTTGTGTGAGTCGGTAAATAGCATACAGTGATTCTCAGAGTGGCTAGGTAAGTAGATGCATTTTCAAACTGTAATTTTGGTGTGTACAATATGGTGTTTTTCTTTCAGCTGTACACATTGAGAAGATAACCCTGAAAGGAGTACCAAGAAAAAGGGCTGACAAACATTTGGAGTACACATTCAAAGTAAGCAAATAACCTCCAGAATATTAAAGGAAATGTATTCATGATATCTATGTATTGTAGATAGATACAGCTTGTTTCAAATACCTGCTCAGAAGGCAGTTTTCAATTACGTTAGGGTCTTTAGAGATTCTTGGAATTACCCTATAATTCTCTTGGATTCTGTGTGCAGATCAGGTGTTTTATGTAATTGTGGGCATAAGGTGGGAAGGTGTAAAACACCAGCCATAGCCAGGTGTGTGGCGTCACTTCAGGAAACTTGGCTTTTGCTAATTTGGGATAAGTATTACAAATAATTCTAAAACTAGCTGATCGTTTGCTCAAGTGGCATGGGAGCACAGTTCCTGTCTCTGCAGTTATATATTGCTTGGAGTCATATGGTCATCTTAGATCTCTTTCATGAATGTTTTCCATAAGAGGATGGTTCCTGTGGGTTTTGACAAAACTGGGGGTTGATTGGTTTGGTTTGGGTTTCTTTCATTTCTTTGTTACGATAAAAACAAACAAGCTAAAAAAGTCAACAGACTTGAAGGCCTACCTAGTATAGTCTTCATGTATTATAGTAGCCAGAGGCAACACATAAAACAATTACGTGGGTGAATTTTAAACAAAACTGAAACGCTGCTGCTTGCTACTTTGGAAAAGAAACTTTCGGTATTGAGGTATTAAAGGCTGTAGGCATTAAGTAATAGCTGCTAAGGCCATTAGTGGTGATGTTCTAATTGAATCGAAGTAGTAATTTTCTTAGCAAGGACTGACTAACATTATGAGTCATTTGGCCAATGGATCTGAGTCTGGTAGTATGCCAGGTTTGAACACAGAGTTAAATTTTACCTTTTTTCCCCCTAAAAAGAATGTTTTAGATCAAACACTATTACTGGCCATTTGACATGGGTCATGGGAACTCTGTGAAGTGGCAAACATAAAAAAAAAAAAAGGCTATTTTGAGGTGAAAACTGATATGTTGATCCCAAAATTTGATATTGTATTAAGTAGATGTAGATTATAGAGTTTTGTCTTTTCTGATATTACTAGAAGCTTAAAATTAGTGTTAAATTGATGTATATTATTTCTGGTTTTGAAGTAAAGTAGTGGCAACAGATACCTTGTTGTTGATCATGTCTGAAGGTGAAATCTGCAAAAAAATCTCCAACCTTCTTTTGCTGAGGACAGTAATGTGGAATTTAGCCTTCCAAGTCTTAAAGGTTAACTTGCCCAAGTATTTCAACCTTGTCATAGATCTTTTGTCCAAACAGTCTGTGGACTGAGTACTAGGTGAAATACAATAGTAGATAGGAGAGGTTTGTACAGAATGCCCATATGGATTATTAATATTTAAAGTCACAAAACTATTTTGAAAATTCAGCATGTAGGCAGATTTGACAGTGGTTTTGAATTTCTTTGTTAAAGGGGGAATGTGGAGATATTCTGGGAAGTATTTGAGTAAGCTTGAAACACCTCCACCTCAGTTCTTTTAGGAAAGAGTTTCCTCTCCTCATCTGTGCAGATATATACTGTGCTCCTCACTGCAGATCATTTTGTGCTTGCCCAGACACTGCTTTTTTAAGGTTATAACAGCAATTACAGTCATGGCTTCCCAACTGAGGGCACCAAGAGTAGTTGGAATTTCTGGGGACTAAGTTGATGTTAGTTGGTGGTTGACATTATCCTATCAACTCTTCAGAGTAAATGAATGTTTATAATGGCCATGTCCACTCCCATTACACAGAATCTTCCCGTGCATGTAATGGGAATCATAAGCCCAGAAGTGGGCTTCAAGCCAGACAGCACTCATCTAACCAAGCTTACTTCTTTTTTTTCCTCAAAATATGCATGTGAAGGTGCTATTTTACTACTTGCATGTTGTGCCAGAACAATAATCTACTGAAATTTTATACAAGCAAATACCAAAATGCTGTCTATGATTCTTGAGTAACTTCTTTAGTAACTTGCAGTACTTCCTATGAATTGTACCCTACAACAACTTCTGTATGACCATGTAGGATTCAAGACCAAGGCAGATAAAATTGTTTTATAGGTAATATAAACAAAGGGAGATTTTTTTTTTTCTTTTGACTCATGATAATGGCAGTGAGAGCTCAATCCAGTATATCTGACCTACAGTCCTTTTCTCTGGTGCCTGATTTTTGCGGTTAATGATGTTTGTTTCATATGAGTCCTGTAATTACAGACACTTCTGCCTGGCTTGTTTCTGAGTCAGTAAGCCAGTAATCTTCAGGGACTTCATTGCATTCACCTGAATTTGTTCATACTCTCCTTAGCCACAAATAACAATGAAGATGATCTTAAAAGATACACTCAAAATTAGTATACATCTTTGAAAAGGTACAGCATTATCCCTGTTTGCCTGGTATTTACTTATCTGCAAGTGTTAACTTTTATGCTGAGATCATTGGATTTATGGAAATGTTAAGATTGGTTAACTGGTATTATACGTGGAAAAAGAACCTTTCATCATTCTCTTTTCCTTCCTTACTAGGTAAACTGGTCCGATCTTTCGGTAACGTGTGTAACAAAAACACACCAGGAGCTTCAGGAATTCCTGCTAAAAGTATGTATTGAAATCTAAAAGTAGTGTTTACTCATCAGATTTATAACTTCAGAAGTAGTGTGGGAGAGCTGTGATTTCTGGGATGTAACTATAGAAACAAAAGCATGCTACCAGATTTTTGTACTTCACGGTTGTATTAACTATTGAAATAATGTGTATTGTGGTGGAGCAGCTTGGACAGGTGAACAAGCTCAACAGAATGGGGAGTTTCCCAGGAGGAGATCTTTTGACTTGTCTGAGGTTGCTCTTGTAGTTTTAATTGAACTACCATAAAACTACCAGATGAGTTTTTAATATTCCCCACAGATACAATGTATAGGTATGAGCACTGCTGGTTTGCTTATTCGTGTCCCTGTTAGAATGACCTTAAGAGTATCATTTGTTGTTTCTAATTAATGAGGCAGAGCCATGAGCATAATAGTTCTTAATTTTAGTGTTGTTTTCTTCAGCAGAACAAAGGCAGGCATATTCACTGTCACAAGGAGTTAAGTTTGAGGAAAAAAAAAAAATCTGTCAACTTGTTTGTGTGTAAAAAAAAAGTAAAAGTTCTCCAAGTTGTTCTCTCCCCCACCCCAAGCAGGGAATGCATTTGTGTGTGTAGGCCACATGTGGACCCCATGAGTGTGATGACCTCACACTGTGTGTTTCATTGCCAGTGTCTAATAGTTTGGGTTCCACCTATTCTAGGAAATTATACATTTAAACTCCTCACTGTTCAAGGCACTAATGAAAGATCTGTTTTGGGCATGTTTTGATAGCATCTGGTGTTCTTAACTGCAATGTTAATTGCAAGTGGAAAGCCAGTTACTGTACAAAGGTCAATGTCTTGTTCACTGTTTAATCAACATTATGTTTTCTAGTGTTGTAGAAATGAAGCAGTGAGTGTTCGCAGCAGCTTTAATTTAGCTGGAATATCTAGTTCCAAGAGTTCCCAGAGCTTGATTGTGAGAGTTTGAATTATGGATGGCGTGTCTGGTTGCGGATAGGGTGTCCTGCAACATAGGGTACACGCATCTCCTCCTGACGAGAACCTTAAAAGCAGGACTGTCATATGGGATCCTTTGCAGCTCTGGGATGAGTGTTCAACTGCATGCCTCCTGTTCTCCTACCTGTAAAGTAAAGATGAACACCAGCTTCTGAAATGGGCCCTCTAGTACCTACTTGCTGCCAGGAGGAGGAGCCAGGCAAACAGACAGGATCCAAAATGTTGCAGAGCTGTCCCGTTTGACTGATGGCAGCTCTTCAGATGTGTGGAGTGTTCCATGTGCTGGCTTGACTGCTCCAGCAGAGTCTAGATATACAGAAGATGGCAGGACAAGTGGAAGACAACCACAGGCTGCTACGAGCTTGCTGAGGTGTTCTGTGGAGAATATGCACAGCTGAACATACTTGGTTTGTGTTGGTTTTGATAGCCATAAGTAGAGAAGAAAGAGAATTGTTAAACAAAACAGGATAAACCTTGCTTTAAAAAGCACTGTAGAAGTGCAAATGCTATCCAGTTCATACGCACTTGCATTTTGGCTTTTTGTTATTCTTATTTCCAGTCTGCATGGCATTGTTAAGTAGTACGCTCAGTTTTCTAGGGAGAGAAAAGAATGGTCAAAATACTTGATAGGAAGTTCCAAGGTTGTGGGTGATTGGAGTAAGATAACTGTAAAAGTTGTTTCGGAATAGAACCATTGGTGGGAAAAACTAAGGTAGTAAATGGGATAACTTGGGTGCCTTATATTTAAAGAGCACCTTCTCTTACGTGATAAGTGTAAAAAGTTCTTTGCATGTAGGAAATTACCCGTGTATGTGGAAGGAATAACAAACTTAACAAGTAACAAGACTATCTCATTACCTGAAGTTAAGATAGTTAGCTCCTAGTCTTTGGTTCGTGTAACTCTGAATCTTTAACTACAGAAGGAATTTAATTCCTTTTAATGAAAGTTTTAAAGAAAAAACAAAAAGTTGTGGCTGTTTCTGGAGACAAATTTAAATACAAAACACCAGGACAGGAGGTTTGCTCATACCCATGGTTCTGCAGTAGCTTTTTGGTACCTTTTGGCTAATGCTAATTCTTCAGTCAGGAGTTCCTCATAGCACATATTAAAGCTAAAGGGGTCAGTTAAGAAAAGCTGCTTTCAGCACTTCTTTCTGTTTTTTTATCTAACACACTTCAGGTGCAGTAGCACTGCACTAATCTAATACTAACAGCACCTGTCTGTCTGGAGTCTGTCTGTCCAGAAGTTCCTTTTATGTATGTTACCAAGCAATTATCCACATTAGACGTAGTGTCTCTCTATTAGTAGCACTTCATTCAGTGAAAGAATTTCTTAGTGCTTTGCTGTTGTACCACTAGCAGGATGTAATATCCAGCTGTCACTCTGGATTGGGTGTATTCCAGACATGCAAGAGGAAGATGGTACGCTAGTGTAAATTACTTAGTGCTGTTGATCATAACTGATGGCAGATGTTAACCAGATTAGCAATAGCTTTTAACTTTAGGAAAAAGCATTTTTGCTATGGCAGTTTACTTTTAATTGCCTCAAAATTAAAAGATTTTTTTTTAATATAAATTAATGAATTTGACCAGCTTTCATGCACTTCAGTACATTATTTTGGGAGTGGTAAATGTTAAAAATTTTTGTTCTAGGGAATATGTTTCACTTAAAATAGACATGCTGTTTAGATGCAAGAATTTTGCCTTGTGAACTAGAACATCAGAAGACCTCACTTTGTAATACTGGCATTGCAGTTATAATGAATTTTCTTAAGAAGTTTCAGTGTTAACAATAACCAGAGAAGGACTTGCTATTGATTAATCTCAATATTGCCCACTGAAGTCTAGTGTATTATATAACTGAGTCTCCTTTCTACTCCTGTCTCTTTAAAATAATTGAATCTAGCTAAGTGGTGATAGTGAGTACAGTGCATTCAGTCCTCCCTGGTAATTTTTTTTATGTTATTTTGAGACCTACTTTCTGTGCATGAAAGATTTAAAGAAATATATCAAAAAAGGCTGTAAATTACTCTGGGAAAGAACATAGTTATTGGTGAATTTCTGAATGTAGTTCTTTCAACTAGAGCTTTAAACCATCTGACACTTGGATTTGATGTGAGGCTTTACAGCAAAGTGTTTCTCTAGCAAAACTAAATTATGATGATTTGTTGTACCTTTAGTCTGTAAATTACCTTACTCAAACTGGAACAATCAAGTTTCTTGTTGATACCAAAAGATGTAAAGACTGATGGTGAACAAATACAGTCTTTAAAATGTCAACTACTCATTTTTTAACATTAACCTTTTTCTCAGCTCCCAAAGGAACTGTCTTCTGAAGCATTTGACAAGACTATTTTAAGAGCACTAAATCAGGGTTTTCAGAAGAGGGAAGAACGAAGGCATGCTGATCTTGAGCCCATAATCAGGTAAATATTTTAGCAAATAATCTGAAATGCATTACCTGAAAAGTGATTGAGGTCAAACTAGATGACTTTTAGGGACAGTGGAAGTTCTGCTGCCTAAACACAATTTGTGAAGAAAGTGGGAAGGCAGTGATGAAATAGATACCTTTAACTCTTCCCCCCTCCGCCCCTTTAAATTGAGACTCTTACTAAACTTTAATGGATTACTACTTTAGAAGTAATGATACAATTATTGAATTATTTAATTGAATTTTAAACTAAAGAAGAATAGATTTAGACTAGATATAAGGAAGAAATTTTTTACAGTGAGGGTGGTGAAGCACTGGAACAGGTTGCCCAGAGGTAGTGGAGGCCCCATCCCTGGAAACATTCAAGGTCAGGTTGGACAGGGCTCTGAGCAACCTGATCTGGTTAAAGCTGTCCCTGCTCACCGCAGGGGTGTTGGGCTAGATGATCTCTAAAGGTCCCTTCCAACCCAAAGCATTCTATGATTCTATGATGAAAATATTTGTCCTGAGCAGCATTATATAGCAATGATTGGCGCTTCAGCGAGGGTCTTACCTCCGTTATACAAGGGTATATTTAGAAATATTAGAAACAGTAACTCAAAGTGCATAATGTTTTAATTTTATGACAGCATAGAGTGAGAGACAGAACAGAATTTGGAAAAGAATAAACAGTAATAGTGAAGCATGTATAGAAAATTAAATGTAGCTCACCTGTTTGTAAGAAAATGGCCCATACCTCATAACCTACTATCTAGCGATGAGGGTGCTTGCTGGGATGTGGGACATGTTGGTCAAATCTTGTAACTCAGAACAGCAATGTGAATTTTGGTGGGCCTCCCTGTTCTTGTTGTTTGTTACGGATATCTTGTTATGTTTGTTCTTTCCTGTCAGGGTTGTTCAACCTTGTTCAAAACAAATTATTGATCAGGTTAGGCAGTGCCTCTTGAGTTAGGGTACTTGTTGAAGAATCAGGCTTTTCAGGCTCCTGCTCAGAATATACTGCAGGTCCAAGCATATTGGATCTTTGGGTTTTGTCTTAATAGCTTAGCTACAGAAGATATGGAGCTGCTGTGCGCCTCAACCTCCCCTTTCCCAATTTTCTTTTATTTTAATCTGTAATATTATTTGTCTGTCTTTATTGGCTTGATTGTCAAGCCAAAAACTAAATCTGTGCAAACAGTTTTTGGCTGATAAACATTCTGGTTATAAACGAATAACTTGTTAAATAGAGGTTGACTGAAGAGAACATATCTGTAATACAGAAAGGTTGTGAAGCCTCACTGCACAGTAATTACAAACCCAAGAGGTTCAGTTTGAGGATAACCTTTAAACATACCCAAGCATATTATAGTACAGAACTATAATTACAATTTGCAAGCTAAGTTGTGACTATACTGGAATGGTATGTGAATAATCTTGTTATAATAGCATTACTGTATACAAATTTCATTTTCTTACAGTATCAGTTTAGCATAAATATATATTTATTTGGGGGTCTCAAGTACGTGCCCAGTTGCCAAAAATTGCGCTCTCCTGCCCGCTACCCCCAAAAATAGAACTGGGTAGTGCTTCCTGGCAAGCCATAACTGAAAACTTGTTGTGTGATGTAAAAACCCTTGATTCTTGGCCTGTTCTCTTATCTGAAGTTAATAGAAGTTGTCACTGACCTCTTGGGAACAGACTAGACCAGTGCAGAGCAGTATTGAGAATCCCACCCTTTGCTCTTGAAGATAATTATGAAACTCAAATACTGACATTATAGGTGAACTCAACTTTGTGTTTAACCAAATAAGTGTATCTAAGGAACAGCTGCATTGTGTCGGGAAATTAAATGTTAAAATACAAAGTGTAGTGCTTTTTTGACTCAGTCCAAACTCCTCTTCAATAAAATGTTACAGGTGGCTAAAATGTTTGAATTGGGATCACTCAAAAAGCACATACCTTTTAAATTAAAAAAAAAAAAAAAAATCATACCAATTTCTTGTACTGGCTGTGCTCCAACCTTACACTAGCACTGAACACCAAAGCTCAAAAGTAGCATTTAACATTGTTTATGCTGAACATGCAAGTTCAAGTGTTTGGACCTCTTAAGACCTGCCTACTTTGCTCTTAAATGGTACTGTAGCAAATTTTTGTGTTCTTCCTATGGAATTACTTACAGTTTAACAAACTCTCACTTAAATTTCAGGCAGCTATTTTCAAATACATCGCAAGCTTTTCTGCAGAATCAGAGAGTATACAACTTCTTCCAATCAATTTCATCAGAATCTTTGCACACTCACAGTAAGAAATGTCCTAATACTGTTCTATATAACAAAAAGTCTATAAAAAGCTATTCTTCCTGTCATACTTAATTATGTTTTTATAATTATGTATTCATGTTACATTGTATTCCACTGGTCATATTTGAACTCCCTGCCAATGAATAGTCACTTCAGCAGATACTCATGCTTTTGACAGTGGGGACATGTAGCATTAGCTTGTGTTCTTTTCTTTTCTTTCTTCTTCTCTGTACTATCATGCTGTTAAAATATGTAATTATGAATTGAGTATGTGCAACAGTGTGGGACTTTTTTCTTTTAAGAAGTCTTAAACTTTGGAACAAAAAGCTTGAGCTGACCCAAAAAATCACATCTGGTTTTTATTTTGTTTCTTTTGGAGATGAAGCGTTTGTCTTGATATTTAAACTAAGATTCATTTTGGGTATATAGTACATAAATAGCAGGATGGTCCTAATTTCAGAACATACAGAATCTTGTTCAAAGCATTTGCATTGCAGAGATTTCCTTGGTGAACCTCATACCTACCTGTGTATTACAGATTGTTTGTACAACCTAAGCTTAAGCTTAGCTTCTTTGTATGGATGCCTTAGGATGTGGTCTTTGTTTCTTTTGAATCTTTTCTTTTTTCAGTGCATGTTATACACTATGACAGTTTAGGCACTGACTGTGAGGCCATTGCCTCAGAAATTGCAGAAGACCTTAGTAAGGAACTGAGTAAGTTGGAGCTTTCAAACAGACTGCTCATATGTGCTTGGAAGAAAATAGAGGCATGACAGCTGACTTTAATTTGAAATGATGGGTGTGATCTGTGATAAATGTATTCTTTCCATGGTCAGATAGAGGTCTTGTGGTTAGGGTCAGCTGTAGGTCATTTTGTGATACTTTTTTTTTAGTAACACTTAGGACATTCTTACATGGCAGTTTCGTGAAAAAGTTAAGCTAATGAGGTCCAGGAAAAACCAGCTGGAACTTACTGCTGTGAAAATTCTGACACCTCTGTTGTAACGAAAGGCTGCATGGGGAGGAGAGCGTTTCCGAAGTCCAGAAAGATTCATGTTAATGATAGGCACACTGCACAGGGTATGCATATTTTCATCTGTAGACTACATCTAGATGGGAGAAACTTGCAAATGCGTTGTACATGACTATAATTTGAAATAGTCTGAAAAAGAACCAGTGCTGGGTTCTGTCATGATAAACTTGACTGGGTTAGTGCAGGGTAGGTAGGTCAGAAGGGTAAAATGGACAGATGTCAATTCTGCAGGAAGTCCTACAGATTATAATGTGATCATAAATGGGAGATAATTTGTATAGTAATAAATAAATAATTGGGTACATTCATCAGGATTTGTCAGATCTAGAATGCATGACAGATAGGATGAAATGAATTGTTTAGCAGAGAGGAGGAAAAACTGCAATGGAAGGTGACTTAAGTCTTCAAATACCAAAGAATCATAATGTAAAAAGGATGATCTGTTCTCTCTGATGGATAAGACAGAAAGCACTGGGCTTAACTTGCTATGAGGAAGATTAGGACCAGGGTCAGGCAAGAATCTGGTGATTACAAGTCCAAAGCAGTGAGGCAGGTCTGAGGTCAAGGCAGAAAAGCAAGTCAGTAGGTCAAGGTTAAGAACAGAATCAGTGAGGTACGTGGCCGGGCACGGGCATGGCTGCAGTGCCTGCCAGGCAAGGGCCTGAGCTCAAATGTGGCTCCCAAGCCAAAGGATGGAGGCCCTGGATGAGGCCTCTGCCAGTTCTTTTCCCAGCAGTCTCACCCAAAACTGCAGAACTGCACTGTATCAGATTGGATCTTGAGCTTAGGCCAGTGAACCCCTTGGGGCAGGGGAAGAGGTTGCAAAGCCCATTGGTGGGGTTCAGGGCCCTGACATTGAGTTAGATATTAAGAAAATGTTTGGTGAAGACAAGTAGCGCAATAAATCTAAGCATAGTTGTTTTTCTTTTGAGAAGGGGGACTGGATGACTTGGTCTGGGGTAGCTCACCGCAGGTGGTCTCTGTGTTTTTCTAGGTTTCCTGTTTGGGGTTCCTGAAATCCTGCTAATACTTGCAATTGCAAGTTAGCCCATGCTGGCATATTTTGAATGTGATGACAGTGTAGGGAGAGGGAGGGAAGCTTATCTTTAAGAAAAATCTCATCATAGTTCTCAAACGGATGTGCAGAATTAATTGGTAGACAAAGCAGTTGTGGCTTAAATTGGTCTTCAGTCACTATTTAGAGTTGGGGATAAAAATGTCTCATCGCAGAAACACAAAAATATTCACTCTTTCTGAGGGGTATGGTTTTAGTAAAACCTATGTGGAAGTAAATTCTATGTTCAGTGAAGGGTCTTTATACCTTAAATAATAGTTGGGATCTGACACTGAATAATACATTCAGTAAGCGTAATTATGCCGCCATGGTTCCATTAAGGAGGAAATCAATTAGCTCCCTCCTGGTTCATAACATCAGTTATTTCAGACACTTTTCCAGGCTGGAGTAGACTTTTGATACCAACAGACTTTATTAGAGCATGATCTCTGGGGGCTTAGTATGTTCAATGCAGACAATACTCAGAAAGATCCTCCTATCAACGTTTCAAGCTCCTGAGCAACAGCTTTCAGATGCGTTTACCTGCACTAACTCGGAACTTTTTGAAAAGGAAAGAGTAGACTCCTATAGCTAGATTTGTTACCAAACTTAGTCCTTTTTTAGAGCATTGCAGTAGTATTTTTGCAACAAAACTGTAAATATTATTGTCACTTCTTTTTCCATCCAGTCTGGCATAAAAAGGCAAAAATTGTGCGTGAAGACTGTGTTAAGAGTTCTAGAAGACTTTAGCCCAAATTAGGTCTCTCTTGGCAGGTGAATGATTTGACAATGGAGGAGTGCAACTTGTTGTAGAACAATTCTAGTAACTATCATTGGTCTCCTCCCATTTCCTGCTGTAACACAAAAAAGATTATAAAAAAAATCTGAAGTGCAGGATAATAGAACTCTTTTTAATACTACAGTCACAATCCCAACCTTTTGAAATTGCACTATAGGTTTACAATTGTTTTGCGCACACTTTTATTCAAAATAAGTGTCTCCATAAAGCCTTTACTCTTGGAGATGGCCTGTTTTGAAGGAGATGATGTTCAAATTGTTGCCACACACAAACCAGTAAGTTCAGTCTTCCATTTCCCTAGCTTCCAGTTTAGTGCAAGCATTCAGGAACTGACTGTCTAGTTGTTCAAGATCTATAAAGTTACTACGTGAACTTTATTCTCTGCAGGTAACTTACAACCCTCTTTGAAGACGGTTAAGGCACCAGAACACTTCAAGGAGGACAGTTCAGAAGCTTCAAGTCAGGAGGAAGGTAGTTGTGTACTCAAAGGTGGCTCTTCTCTGAGAAATTTTACCACACTCAGTTCTGGAAATCATGCAGTTGACTGATTTCTTCACTGGTACAAAGCTGAGAGATTTGAATGAAATCTGCTATGTAAATGAAGAATTTTTGTATACTTTCAGCAGTTTTCCTAGGAGGTTGCCATGTAATCCAAGGAGTGGGAGTTTTCATAGACAGCTTGGAGGCAGAAGTTCACAGCTGTGTTGAGCAACCAGGAAGATATACTTTACAATTTACTTGAGCCAAGATTGTTTGTAGTTTTTCATGTCTTTACCTATTCTTCAGTTACCAGGGTTGGAAGTTGAGTGCAGCGTTTCAAGAGTTGCAGACTGTTTTGCATGAAATGTGCCAAATTTGTCTAGCTTTTAGTTTTACACAGAAAGGATGTTCAAGTTTTTCTCTTCTTATTCTTAACCTATGCTGCTTTTATACTCTGGACTCTTAATAAGGACTGTTTGGGACTGTAGTGAGTATTGATTACAGTCTGAAAGCTGGTGTCTTCCAAATACCTCAAAACAGTTCACGTGTGGAAGCAGCAGCCTAGTGGCTGGTCAGTAATTTCATTCTGAAAGGAATGGCAAGCCAGTTTTGCATTGTTTTCAGTAGCGAACAAGTATAAGCTTCTGGTGGGTGGAAAGGATGAGAAATGGGACTGATAGGTGAACATGGACCACTGAACACTTACGCTAGCTTTCACAGAATGACACCACTCTTATCCTGTTACACATTAATAACTAATAAGAAGCTTGTGGTTGATCTTATGTGCAATCAGTAATGCACATATGCAGTTCAGACAGCTTTTTCTTATTTAGAAAAACATTACCATATTTTTCTTTAGAGTTCAGAATGCACCAAGTAAATTTACAATATAATTGGAAATTGCTCAAATAATGTTTTATATACTGTCCTTAAAAAAAAAAAAAAAAAATCAAAACCTGTTCACCTGATGGAACTACAAACGCATTTCAGGACACCCTTTGTGCCATTTTAGTGAAGTGCTACCAGAAGTTCAAAAATTGTAATTTTTTTTTTCCCTTCAATTTTTTTTCAAATCATGATTTGTGTAGCATTGAGAAGAGTTCAGGCAAAATGATAGCTACCAAGAAGTCTAAGATCATCAACAGTTGGAATTAAGAAAAGTTGCTTTTGTTGAAATTTAATGGTTGCCTTAAATAAAAGGGTAGACCATGTCTCTAAAGTTCTTTTTTCTTGTTTGAGGCAGTATCTCTTATGTCAAACGTAATTTGTAAAGCTTTACTTGCATAGTGAATTTTGAGGTTCAGAATGCAATAATTCTGTGTAAGACTTGTCTTCATTCACTATTCAGAATGTGTGACATAGTTTTGAGATGAATTTTAGCAGTTTAGAAAAATCACAAAATTCTATACTTTTCTGACTGAATCCTTTCTTCTCTCCCCATCCTTTCATATTGGGTGATACTCAGTCACACATTTAGTCCTTACGGTTAAATACAGAGGTGAGCAAACATAAAGGGTTGTTACAGTTCCTATTTTTCTGTTTCATTCTTCTGTGAAGTGGAAGGTAAACAGTCTTGATTACACTGTCTGTACAAACTGATCTGTCCTCTATGCAACACTTGTTAATTTCAGCACTGTAAATGAAGCCTAGCCTGTTTAATGGAGATGTCTTCTGCTAAGTGTCTGGTAGTGATGGAAAGATGAATTTGTTGGATTGATCTAGAAGAGGAAATAGGAATTGCTATTGAAATTATGCTTTGTTTATTTTTTTCCAGATGTAATGCAACACACGGCAGTTCACAAGAAACATAATGGAAAAAGTCCTGTTGCCAAGTAGGTACTAGGGTGTAATGTGACCATGATACATTTCTGAACTTCATTTGTTAGTGCTTTGAGAGTATGTGTTTCTTTCTAGATTAAAGCTTGTTTGTGGGGTCTTTGGTTGGTTCAAGTGGGGTGTTCTTGTTTTATTTTTTGTTGTTTGGGGGGTGTTAGTAACTTAATCTGTATTAGAAAAATATTTCAAAAGATCCTATTTCTAAATCTGTAGGTCTCAGTCATTTGGAACTCTCTTCTTTCCCAAATTTTGTGAATCTTCACTGCTCGAGTTGATGTTTTGATTTGTGTTTATAAGCTGAGTAACATAAATTTGTATTGCATGTACTTTTCCCATGTGCACACACACCCATGCATATACCAAAAATTTCCAGTGCTGTTGATTTTAAGCTTTTCTTCAGTAGCTTCAAAGATGACTTTATAGGAGAAGGTAGTCCATTCTTTCCCTTGCTTAGTAGCAAAAGCATGTATACCTTGCTGTTTCGTGTCCATTGTAAGTGGTAGCACTTCTTAACCATATTAGTTTATGCTTTCAGATATATGAAGTATGTAATGTGAATTCACCCATAAATGTATTTTGACCAGAAACTTTGGATATGTTTGCACATAGTTGTGCAATATTTCAACTATATATTAAGAGAAAAAATGGATACAAAATTATCATGGTTTACAGTTTTGTTCTGTGTTGTTTTATCTGTAAAATGTATTTACCTTTGGGGGGGTGGGGGGTGGGCAATTACCTGGAATTACAATAATTAGAATATAAACATAGCACAAAACAATGTTGGTTAAAGTTCACAGATCTTTAACAGACAAGATTCTTGTGAAATTGCCAATTGGACAACTTAGTGGTTTGTTTCTGGTTTGGTTTTTAACCCTCTTACTTACTCCCAACTTACATTTCTTCAAGAAGAGAATGTCATCTTGACAAAATCTCTGATTATACCAGTGGATATACAGCCTACTATGAAGTTGTAAAGTGGGATCCAAACTTATTAGCATATAGTTACTAATAAAAAAATTGTCTTTTTCTTATTCATTGTATAATAAAGTATACTAAAGCTGACTGTAGCTTAGGATCTATCTTTCAGGTAGGAAAGACAGGGACAGGCTTTTCCACAAACTTCTGTGATAGAAAATCCTTTTGCTAGCTATTATTTTCTGTTTATTTAAGAGAGGGAAATGTGTTTACTACTTGACTGCTGGAGGTCTGTTAGTCCTCTCCTGTCCGCCTTATGTGTCCGTCATTATGTGCCTGCTATTTATAGGTTCTAAAGAAATAGCACTGAATGAAACTTTTCTTTTTGAAATATGTATAAAGCTGTCTAGAGTCAAGAGCAGTTCATCTCAAATAGCATTGGTACATTTTAGGAAAATTTGTGCATTACGTCTGTCTACCTTTGGTTTTTATTCAGTATGGCAGCCTTACTCTTGAAAAGGTCCAAAAATTTACTGGTAGGAATGACATCGGACATACGAAATAAAAAAATTAGTAGTATCACAGCTTACAAGAGGTGACTGCAAATTCAGCAGTGGATTCACTTAACTCCATTCAGCAGAAGTTTCTAAAGTGACCTTGCTTATATCTCTGCAGTCGTGGGCTCATTTCTGTATTTTGGGACCTACTTGGGTTCTCACCATTTTCTTAAACTATTTTTTTAATATTCTATTGCACATCTTTTAAGTAGTTTGAGCACTTATTTCCAGAGGTATTTGGTAAGTAGCTGCTGGAACTTCAGCACATGTTGTGAGCTAGATTTCTGCCATCTGAGTAACTTTTCATGTAGTAGCCTTCATGAAGCAGCTTGCCACAGCCCATTTTTTTTCGCTTTGGCATCCAGTCAGTAGTAGCGCATGGTTTTGTACGATAGATGAAAAGTTTATAGGTCCATGTGCCCTACTGACTCTGTCAGAACACTGACTGTTTTTCCAGCAGTCTTTGTTGACCGGTGCTCTCAGACATAGTTAAATATTGCTTCTGACCAGCTGCTGTTAAGAGAAGCATCAGTGGAAGGCATTATAAGGTCCAAAGTAAATGCTAAGTGCACCTCCCCTTTCCCAGCACTACTCAAAACTAGCAATCCTGAAGGTAAAAATATAAAGCAAGATGTCTATTTTGAAATTCAAACACACACAGCTGCCATATGATCTGTAAGTAGCCATGCGTTCCTTTTCTTAAATGTCTCGTGAATTCTGAAATAGGGATTATAAAATAATTCCAGCTTTGTCATTAATGATACGGAAGAAAGAAGATAAATTCAGAATACACTTCTATCTGGAAAATTTCCTGGACTGTATGAAAAAAGCAAACAGAAAGACTTTGTGTGCAGGAATATCCATGGAAACTCTTCTCTCAAGTACTGTTTTCTACAAATTCTGTTGTTCTGAATTTTGCGTCAAATTATAATAGACAAATGAAAAAGGAACTCCGGTTATGTTCAGATCATTAGTATAACTTCAGAGCACAAGAGCTCCTGTAATTTACATCTTTTAAATCTCTTTGAGAATTTCTAGGGTTTTCTGAAAGCAAAATACCAGTTTCCCAACATGATGCAAAAATGCCTATTTTGGTAGGAAAAGCTTGCAAGTTTGTTCATGTTGGCATAACTTTTGTTTTTTCCTTCCAGCAGCACTAGCAGTGCAAAATGTTCTTCACTGGATAGCCTTAACATACAGCACTCTGAGCAAAATGGGGTAATGGACTGGAGAAGAAAAAGCTGTATTGTCCAGCAGCACCCAGAGCACTGTACAAACCTACTTGACCAGGTGTGTTGCTGTTTTTTCTTTAAAGCAGTATTCTGAGACATCTGAAAAGACTGTCCACTACACATGATTAGATTTAGCTTTGAAAGATGAAGACCCCTGCTAAAATTGTACAAATAATTGTCGAAGTTCAAGTTGCTACTGACTTGTCTTGATTACAAAAACCTTTGTAATTATTTACCACTGTCTCATGAAGTTGTGTATTTTGTTGATGAATTTGTAAATAAAGTCTCCCAGTAGGATGTAAGTAATCAGAAGAGTCTAATGTTCATTTCTAATCAGACACTTTCCTGTTACTGTAACATATTGTCATCAGAGATAATTTCAGAACGCCTGGGGAATTTCTGTGTTAGTGCGAGGAACAAACTAGAAGCTGCATCAATAACTAAACCATTAATGCTACAGCAGGGGCAACAGGTTAAACATACTCTTTCTATCTTGCCTGCGTTATCTAAGTAACTTAAGTATTAAACTTTGTTGAAAAAAGGTAATAACTAGATGCATATACACTTTTTGTGAGATTTGTGTCTCTTCAGTGGTCAATTTTGGTGTGAGTATAGTTGAGAAGAATAATTATTTAGAAATAAAATCATCTACTGAAATTGAGGGAAGGAAGGTTGCCCACTGCTTACATCTGAAAAACCTCGAATGTTAGAGTTGTTTAATATTACTCTTATTCTACATGCAGAATTTAGCTATTGGTTATTATGGGGGCACTAGCAAGCAAAAAAAAAAAAAGTTTCCTTGTTTCACAAAGCAGGGTAATGAATTAAGAGTTGTTTCTAAAGATGATAGACTGCATCAAAGGTTGAAATATTGCAAGTTTGAGGCGAGAAAAGAAATTAATATAGTAAAGCAGAGGAAAAGCTACTTCCTATTTAAACGATGTCCAAATACAACCTATTTGGACAGAGATTACTTCCGAGTTTTCATAAATTTTACTCCTTTGCCAAATATGAGATATTACTAGCAGCTAGTAATAGTATACTTAAAGAATTATGCAGATGCTGTGTTTTTTCTTACATGCTTCTAGGTTGTATTCTAGAATTCAGTTTAGCGGCAACCTCCAGTTTAAGGCTGGATACCTGCTTTGTCACCATTTGAAAATAATTTGCCATGTGTACTTCCCACCCCCCAACCATCAAATAATTCCACTTAAATCAATAAATTCTGTAGTCCCTTAAGCCTTGTGATTAGCCTTTTTAGCGGGTATGCGATGAAACACATTTGGTTTTATCCTCAAGAGGAAAGACAGCATGCAAACAATAATTTGATTGATATCTTCAGAATATTTGCAAGTAGTAATTTGCTGAGTGTTTTGCTGATAATGGCGTAAACACAAGGTAAGATGCATTATTCTGAAGGCCTGGATGCACCCTACAAGTAGTTGTTTGTATGATTATAGCACCTGTGAGTGCACTAGTCTTGGACTCACAGACCTGTCAGTCTAGAAGGGGGGGTTTGTTGGTTTTCGGGATACAAATTGTGTTGTTTGACTGGCATCTTTGTATTTTCTGTCTAGCATACAGCAGAAAAACGAAGTCTGTCTACAGCGAGCAAGAAGAAGGGAAAGACACAGCTGGAAAAGTAGGTTTCCAATGTAACCAGTAATCCAGAAACAAAGTGTAATGCATTCAGTCTGATAAACAGAGTCTACAATCAATTAGGTGCTTTGTTTTGCTATTGTGGAGCAAGAGCTGGCATAGTGTGAAGCCAGTCTACATAAAAATCCTTATTTTATCTTCTGAAAAGAAGTAACTTGAAAAATAGCATGTAATTGTATGCATTCATTTCTCAAAATACCAGTTGTCATTTAGCAAAAAGATGAAGGAGCAGAAGTAGGTTCTTAACCAATACTAAATTGCCTTTTTTCCCTTTATATTTATTTGAAAGTTAAAAGGTGTAAAGCTGTCCAGAAAACACTGAAAATCAAATAGGATTGACAGCAACGTTAAACATTACTCAGTGGGTGGTAACTTGCTGAAATGTTTTATTGAAGATAATTTGCACATCAGAGGGCTTCAGAACTTCCTGTGGGCTGCACAATCCTGCACTGTGGGGAAGTGAAAAATTTCCACCCTTATCTAATACTCTGCCTACTTCCAAGTCAACTTTCTGTCATTTTGTTACTCTGTAGCCAGATGTTTTTATGCTAGTCTGGTGTACGGCTGCATTACACACATCAGCTTTCAAAGATGACTTTAGAATCAGCTGCACCATTTCTTTTTTTGTGCGTTTTCTTTTTTAGATCTTTATTCATAGTGTTTAGTAACACTACTTGCAGTTTAGTTCCTGTTATATTGCATTAACAGCCTTTACCTATTTGTTTATTATCTACATTTGTTGTTATGGCTATTAAATACACATTTCTGTCCTGGAGTCACTGCCTTTGTTTACAGTGGCATTATATGTTCATTCATGGTTGGTTATTTGTGCCTGTGCATTTGGGAAAAAAAAAACAAAAAACCATGAAAATTATTTACACAGGGAGAAAGCAAAGAAAACTGACTGCCGGTTGAACAACAGGACTAATGGAGTTAGAGTTGCAGCATCACAGCACATCCGTACAGGGACAGCAAAAGGTAAGATGTTTTTTCCCAAGCTGTTTGTAAGAAATAGAATTTCCAGCTTTGCCGATTTACTCATTTTTCTGCAGTAAAGGGGAAATCACAAGTCTGAAATCTGTTTTGGTGCAAGTCAGCATGTTGGCTGTCTAGTTTGTGCTTTGACTTGCTGTATAGAACATGCTGGGCTCAGTCTTCTGTATGCAGTTGGTTAGGGCATATCTCTTTTCATGCATAACTGGAAAAATACTAGTAAAGTCTCCATAAGTTGCCTTATGTGGAGTAGTAGTTGCAGAGACAGTTAATGCTGGGCTACTTCTATATGAAATTTAGCAGTCTGAGCGTGTGGAGGTCCAGCATCTCGTCATTAGTGTTCTCTTTGCAGCTCCCTAGTTTCTTCAGCTGTTGTGGAATGGCCCATGAGGAACCTGTATAAAAACCCTCTGGTGCAAACCATTGATGAACTGTAGTGTGTAAACCAAGTGACTACTGAGCTATAACACACAACTGTGTATGCTACCCTAACAGGGTTTTCAAGTTTGGGTAATCCAGCAAAATCTAGTGTCTAGGCCAAGACTTGTGTTCATCAGTCAGTTATAAGACAAAATTATATTTGTGTTGCCTTAGTAAATTGAGTCTATAAGCTTTATTACAGATTCCTGAAGGGCTGTGTTACCCATTGACTTTGCCGTCTTGATGTTCCGTAAGCTCCCAATATCAGTTGCAGCCTTGCCTCTCATACTTAGTTCTCTGACAGAAGGGTGACAAAGAGTTTCCCTTTTTCTACACCACCTAATTGGCATAAGTGTTGAAAGGACTCTTACAAAGTGCCTTGTCTTGCTCTTGGCTTCTGCCTGGGATACAGTCTTGATTAAGCTTCCATTCTTTCTTCTCATCGCTTCGCACTGTTGAGAGTTCCAGGTGGATCCCATTCTGAATTATTGTCATGTGTTTTATGGGCAGTGTTTGTTACCTTCTACAAACAGTATTTGACTAAAACTTTAAGAATTCACAGTTCACAAGCTTAACAAAACCATGACAATTTTAGAAAGTTATAGCTAAGGGTTGTACAAGCAGAAAACATACTCTACAGGACAGCTTTGCTGCATACATTTCTGATAGGTTATTGTTCTTGTTGTCGGGCAAAATGCAGTGAGTTTTTATGAACTGACGATAACTTTTAAGAGGTGGTGCAATTCCGTGTGATGTAGCGCAAAGTTAAATAGGGAATGCTTTGCCATATGAGTTCTGTCCACTCACTGCCCGCTGCTCTGCAGATGTGAAACCACCTGTCTGATACTCCTGGCTAGTTACGGCCACTCCAGGAAGAAACTGCAACACACAGAGGCTGGAAGCAATTAAGTCCTGCTCAGAGACGAGCTTTCTACCTGTGCGTTTGTGTCCAAACATAAAAATGTCTTTTGAGATACCCTACTGGATACATAGTCTAAAGAAAAAAATTGTTGCAGTCTGAATCTGTGCCTAGCTTTATATATCCAGGCTTGGTTTGACATGCTGTCTTTTGAGTCAGTAACTCTTAACTGCATCATGTTTTCTTCCATTTTTTTCCTCCCTGTTTTTAGCTTTTCTGAGTCATCAGTTAGTTACACTTGTAACTTTGAAGACTTGATACTTTGTAACTAGCACTTTAGACTCTTGCTTTCAGTGACACGAGGTTGACACTGCTGCTCTGGGTTATATTAGATATTGAAAAACACTTGTTAAAGTAATTTGACCAGTTACAAGTTTAATCCAGGAAACGATTTCAAGAATTGAAGCATTAAGGCAGCTTTTTGATGACTTATCCCAACCTGTTATACTTGCAATAGCAATAATAAATGAATTAATAATTTATAAAGAAAATAATAATTTATTAGAATTAATAAAATAAGTGA